TTAACCATGAAGGTTTCCTACTTTTATAATAAAATACTAATAAACTGGATATGCAATTTACCCAACCAATTATGCAATTCATCCTACGTACATACATTTATATTAACACTTACTCATGTATGCACATAATCACATTTTTCACACATATGCACACAACTCATGCACTTATTTAAATAACATGCATGTTATCACATATTTCACATAATAACCACATAAAGTTACCTCAACCGATGTTGTCTAAAATTCAGGTCATCACACTTTAGGTGAAAACTTCAAATGTAAAGACATGTATTCCTCCATATATTGGATGTTATTACTGCTAATGACGAATATTTTCAGCAAAAACCTGATGCTACAAGTAGACAAGGTCTTTCACCACTGCAAAAATCTATTGGAGCCATGAGGGTATTGGCCTTATGGGACATCAATCAATGCAGTTGATGAATATTTGAGAATGAGTTGGTCCACAACAAGGGAAGCTCTCGTTAACTCCGTAAATGGTATTATCTCATGTTCTAGTGACGAGTACCTCAGAAAGCCTAACGAAGATGATTTTCACAAGACTGCTCTATGTTAGGGCAGGATCAACGTAGGATTCTTGGTTATGATAAGTAGTATCGACTGCATGCACTGGGAATGGAAAAGTGGTTCGAGCGCATAGGCTGGACAATATGTCAGAAGAAGTGGAAAGCCAACAATCATTTTGGAAGTCATTACATCATATGACTTATCAATATGACACGTTCTATTTGGTACACCAAGTTCTCTTAATGATATTAATATACTCCACCGATCTCCTATTTTTTATAATGTATTGGCAAGTCGAGCACCAAAAGTTAGTTACATCATAAATGGTGATGAAATTGATATGGCATATTATCTCATGGATGGCATGTATCCTTCATGGCCTTCATTTATCAAGTCAATTACGTCTCCCCATCTGCAGAAGCACAAGTTATTCGCTCAACATCAAGAGACTATCAAAAACAGCATTGAGTGAGCATTTGGAGTTCTAGAAGCACGTTTTGAATTTCTTTGATGCTTATGTCTTGTTTGGGGAAAACATAAAATGGGACAAATTATGATTGCTTGTATCATCATGCATAATATGATAGTTGAAGACGAACGAGATGCATACCAAAATTATATATGATCCCACTTAATTTTTTAACGACATGCCTACAAATCGACATTGAGGAAGTTTCAGAAAGATGATGGTCAGCCATTTAAAACTCTATTGAACATATTGCAAGCCTATCTCATTATATGACTATTAAGATACGTTTGGTATATGGTACATGATGGGACGAGACGAGACATATTTTTTTGTCCCATGTTTGGGAAGGTTAATGCATAGAACAATGTGGTACACCGTGGAACAAGTCTCAACTTTTTTGTGTTGGGGTACACCCCTGGAACAAGGTGGGACAAGAAAAAAAAAGACAATTGTGCCTTCCTAATTAGATACGCTCCCGAGTCCAACTGATCTCCTGATTTCCTCCCTTTCTCTTTGAAACTTGGACTTCTTCCCAATTCACACATTTTTTTCTCCATCAAATACATCGTCGCCCTTTCCAAGTAGCACATATCTGTTTCATCATCGAAAATCGATAGTTTCCATCGAAATCGCACCTATTTGGTTCACCGTCGCTTTCCTCGTTGATTGGTTCACTATCATTTTGGTTCATCTTCACTGTCATTTACTGTCACTAATTGCAGGTTCAATTTCTTCTTACAACAGTTGATAAATCGATATTGTTCTTCACATGGATTTTATTGAAGCATTTTAGGGTTCCTACTGAGTTAGATTTTTTAGAATGACAAATGTGCTAATGACAAGTACCCTCTCAACAAAATTCTTTGTAGCAAAACCAAAGGCACAACATTACGAGCAAAGCTAGAAAATTACGATTTTGGGTGACAATTTTTTTATGTGAGTTGGTTATTTTGGTTTGTGAATGCATTATTAATATTCGTACATTTTTAAACAATTTGTTTGGTTGTTATTTTGGTTTAGGACAGTGATGTCGGAATGTAGATATCTAAACAGTTCTTGTATATAATTATCTGGTAAATCTTAGTTTATAATATTGAATGAGATGATATAAATTATGTATATACACACATAAAAAAATTATGTATAAATTTCCATAATAAAATTATTTAATTATTTACTTGATAAGTCTTGCTGTAAATTTTATACATTAGAAAAATATTAAACAACATTTCAGAGATAATCTTGTCATTTTGATATTATTGTTCTGTCTTTTCCAGTCTTACCAAACATTATATTAGACAACTTGTTCAATTTTCTCCTATCAAGGATAATCTGGTCATTTTGATAGTTTTATCCTATTCAACGTTACCAAACACTATACCAGACAACTTGTTTAGTCTAGTCCTATTATGTCTTGTCCAGGGACGGATCCAGTGGTTAAAAAGGGGGGGGGGGGGGGGTCAAAGTACCCCAATCAAAAAGTCAAAAAAAATTTACCTAGGTTAAAATTTAGGATTTTACATTAGTTACCTTCACTTTCCCCCATTAGGTTTTTCCAAGGGCCCCCAACAGTTGCCGAAGATTTTTGTTTCACTGGTGCCCACTCTGCCTCCGGCACTCTTATTGGGCAGACCGCAAGACCAGGTATCACCGTATCAGGTATGCTTCATTTTTGCTAACGTTCTGCTTTTGCTTGTCTTCATTTCTGCTTCTGCTTGTCTGTGACAAATGCAATCCACACAGAGATATGTGCTTCATGTTATACATTAGTTATTTAGTTACCTTGTGAGTTGTGAAGTTGTGATGAAGCAGCAGTCCACAGTCCACACATAGATCTGCTTGTCTGCTTCATTACTGCTTCTGCTTACGCTTCATTACTGCTTGTCTGCTTTTGCTTCATGCTTCATTTCATGCTTCTGCTTTGCCTTTTGGTTTGGTAATGGTTTACTGCTTCTGCTTTTGGTAGAGCAAAAACAGAAGTGCAAAACTTACTGCTTCTGCTTTTGGTTTGGTAATGGTTTACTACTTACTGCTTACAACTTAGAGAATCAAAACTTCAAAAAGCAAAAGGCTTACTGTTACAACTTAGAGCATCAAAAGGAGTGAAAGGCAAAAGAGTAGTTACAATAAACAGTAGGTAGACATTGAGGCTTTTTAAGCTCTTAGTAAACTATTAAATATTAATGAGTAGGTAGAGTCTAGAGTGGACAAATACTATTATTTAATATATATATATATATATATATATATATATATAGGAGCGTTCAAATGAAAACCACCCTCATTTGTACAAACCGTACAAACCACCCTTATACGTCGATTTCATTGTTTAATCTTATGAAATTTTAATGAAATTGTTTCATGTATTTCTCTAAAATTAAAATAATGAAGATGATAATATCCATGATTAACACCCTCCACAATAAAAATGGTTAATCAACCTCTCATAATTACAAAAAAATGAACAAAATGAAAAATTATGATTGGTTGAATGTGGTTTTCACGGTTTNTATATATATATATATATATATATATATATAATGTATTTGTCCCCTTGTTTTTGCTAGAAGATGGAAAGATTTCTGAAAAGAAACGCATCAACGTCCGATAATAGTGGAGAACCTTTAAACAACTTGCGCAATGATCTTCCCTCGATGCCTAGGGAAGTTGATTTGAATAATCTTTCATCGGATCCAGCTGAAAGGAAAAGAATTTTACAATATCACCCTAATCAAAGAGATGAAATCAGACGAAACTACTTGATTAAAGGATCGTTTCAACCACGTGATCACGACTTTCCAAGAAGAATAATTGGGAACAATGCAAGACGTTTTAACCCGGCTTGGTTTGATCAATACGGTAATTGGTTGGAGTATAGTTTAAAAGTAGATAAAGATTTTTGCTTATGTTGTTACTTATTTAGAGATCAATGTGGTGGATTATGTCGGCTTCTTGAATGTTGTTTCATTGGTGAAGTCAACCAAGCGACAGTTGCAACAATTTAATGTTGATGGATTTTGTCGGCTTCTTGAGAATATCTCTTCTTTTTGCGAAAAACACAACATTGGAACAGTTAACATGGAGGAAGTTTATGTCAATCCAAAAAATCGAAGACACAAGATAAATATCACATATCGACATTATTACGAGTACAAATGTTTTAACACGGTTATGGATATGCAAATTCAAGAGTTTGGTGACAGATTTGATGAGGTAAGTTCTGAATTGCTCACTTGTATGGCCGCTTTGGATCCTCATTACTCATTTTGTGACTTTGACCCATCAAAATTACTAAGGTTGACAGAATTTTATCCCGATGATTTTGGCAATGACGAAAGAACTACCCTTGAACACCAACTTCAACTATACATTGACAATGTCCAACATGATGAATTATTTGCTAATTTGAAAGGTATATCCAAGCTCGGTAGAGTGATGATTGAAACAAGGAAACACCTTATGTTTCCTTTTGTTTATCAATTATTGAAACTTGCATTGGTTTTGCCTGTTGCAACCACAACAGTTGAGAGATGCTTTTCTGTAATGAAGCTTGTGAAACCAGCTTTGCACAATCGAATTTGTGACGATTTTTTGAATGCGTATGTCATTTGTGCCGTAGAAAAAAGTACTTGCTAAGGTTACAAATCAAGATGTAATGACTCGTTTTCAAATGATGAAAACTCATAGAAGTCAACTTATGTAATCACATTTTATTAATTATAATGATTGATGTGTTGGTACATAGTTAGTTTAAGTGACCCCAGTGTATAAAATTCCTGGATCCGCCACTGGCCTTGTCCATATACCAAACGCACCCTTAAAGAACAACTTCCAGATAAAGAAGCTTATAGCGTGCTAAAAATGATTTGATTGAGATACAAGAGAGTTTTCTTTTAAATAAGAGTGGGTTGGATTGGTTATGTTGTGTCTAACAAGTTGATAATGGTCAATATCTATGTTCCAAATTGAGTATTAGCTGAAAATATATTTTATGGCTCATCTTTCTAGTTAACTTTTGCATAGCTTCTTAATTGTGTATACACAAATACATCTTTTTCTAGAAAATTCGAATATTTGATATTTTACAAGAATAGAAAACAATTATATATGTGGCATACCAGGAGGATGCAGTTGACATCTCACCTTCCCCATGTTTGAATCTAGGTGTTGCCAAAGCCCTTATGGCTATGGAGGTTCATGTGCGATGACTCCAAGCCATTTGTGGTCGCCCACGAAATCAATCAGTTCGCGTAAGCCAGCCTCGATACTCACGACGATTAAAAAAGATGAATACATGTACCACTATAGACAATAATACTCATGATACAATCTAGAACCACTCTGCTGAACACTTGGGATAGAAACCTGATTCTGTGGCAATGGTGGAAAGAGATTTCAACCCTTTCTGTGCTTTTTGCCTTTCGTAGAAGACAGAACACGCAAGCGATGTGCATTTTACGCCACTTTCTATAACCCAATCCCCGCCTCCACAGTGTCGACAAATCTGGGAAATATAACAATTTATCAAACATTTTCAGGGATTCAAGCTATAAAGAAGACGGACATCTATAGCATAAATTAATTTATTGCCGTCAATCAATACCAAACTAACAAAGCCGGTAAATCCCTACGGAGGTAGGATGTAGGGGTAGGTTGTGGGGTTACCTTTCCTCCAAGATGAAAATCACCGGCTTGCAAAACAAATATATAGAAGACGGAGAGCAAGTGAGAGGTGAGGATGGAGGAAAGTTAAAATGAGAAGCATGAATATTTTGAGAGCCTAGGAACCAACTATTTTATGTATTATTCATGATGAATAATCATGCAATTTTACCATGATATTCATGTTGAGTAGTTTTCGTGATGAATATCTATCACAACATTCATCATGAATAAAAATTGAATAAACAGGTTCTCAAGATATTTATGGTTCTCATTTGATCATGTTCTGACACATGTTAATTTTAGTCTTGTAATACTTACAGCAGCAAGGTGTTGAATCTTTCTTTCCATCTTGGAGGTCCTTCCAGTTACAGCTACTGCAACAGCAGCTTCATTTCTTGAACATTCACCACATAAAGCTGCTGCTCCAGATGCCTGGACCAACTCCCCACACATGATGCAGTGTTTAGAGAGGTAATAATAATCGATTCTGGTTCGATGAGAATTTGGACCATGAGATTGGTTTTTCGCAATAGATTCTCTAAGCGGGCGTGGCATGTCCAGAAACCATTGGTTTAAGTCGACTCCAAGAAGTCCAAAGACCCTCTGTAATGCTGGAATTATTTGTTTATTGATATAATATAAGTCATTTAATCTATAAGGTGAATCAACCGCCAACAGATCCAAAGGATCAACAACCATATCAACTAGTCGTGCACCAGGTTCACCGTGAACCACCACGTAAGGTATTCGCTCTGCATACCGTGGTTCCGCCCGTGGATCAGCTCTTATAGCTTTTGTGGCAACTATTGCAGCTGGAGGGAGGGAAGTAACACGTGAACTGTAAGTACCTAACCGAACTTCCTTTGCAAAAATGAAATCTTGAACAGAAACTCTGCCTGATAAAATGCGTGACCATTGGCGTAGCAAGTATGATTTGACCTGCAGTAGAAAAAATAGCAGAGCATCATACACTATAGAAAGCAATGCAGGAAAGACCATATCATTTTTCAGGCAAACAGTACATATTCTGTTAAATGAGAAGTTAGAAAGAGAGAAGCTCAAATAATCCTGATCTTCATTGTTGAAAAAGGTCTTATATTTGAAGTACATAAAGCTCTCCAAAAACATCCATTGTGGATGCTCTTAGTACAAGGGAAATCATATGCTACATGTTTGACACACACAGATGGGTCCACTATAAATATGTTCTGGCCGTTGCTACATAGTTCTAAAAGTGATTTATATAAAATCTTTTATCATCTACTCCCAACTTCAGGAACTGTTTTTTCTTCCTTATACCGCTTAATATGAGCTAGTCTTGCATAATATATGTGTCATTGCCTTTTCTTTCAAATTATGGCACAAGCCAGGGGTCTTCACGGAAACAACAGCTTTACCCTTTTGGGGTAGAGACCAGGACATCGTACATCCAACCCCTCCAACCCTGCTTTTGAGCAGGATATACTGGGCTTCTCTTTAATTTGGTATAGTTTATTTTATTTGTAAATGTGATCCTGTTTACTGCACAACTGCAAGGGGGATGGGGGTCGACTCTTGCACCCTTGGTCAACTCACAAACTATAAGCACCTGGCTGTGGCCATAAGTGTTTGTTGGGAAGGCATGATAGAAACACTCTCTATGTTCTCTAGAACATCATATTGTTTCAATCAAATAGTTTAACCAATGTAAATCTGTCTATGGGTGGTCAAAGGTAAGAAAAATGTATGTTTTAGCACTCTATTATGCAAACATTACCTTAGAATGAAGATATGTTCCCACAGCCTTGCTTCTAAACGTTCAGATGGTTATCCATGGGACTATCAAATGGACTTTTTGTTTTCTTTTTCAAGAATACAAGTTAAAATAACAAAAAGAGGTCACAGAATCAAGTCTCATGAGAGCATAATAGCCATTATGTTGATGGTAAATTCCGCAATAATATTGATGAAAAACAATAATTTATCCCAGCTCACCTTACTGATATCCTGATTTTCAAAATAATTTCTCAATGAGTGCTCCAATGTCTTGGATACAGCTCCACATGTATCTCTGCGTACAGTCTCAATACCTTTAGCATCAAAGACAGGTTTGACTTGATCAGGCTTCTCATAGCTGTAACCGACGTATCTCTTCTTAGTAAGAAGGAAGCAGGAATGGTAGACCTTCTCCATTTTCAGTACAACTGGAGTAGGGTTCATCTTGGTTACTGCCGATGCAATCTCATTTCCAACTTGGAAAGCTTCACTTACAGAACGTCCTGGGAGGAGTACAAACATGCTGCAAAGAAGATAGCAATCAGCATGCATAGATGAATGAGGTTAAGATACACGGAGTGCAAGAGAAGAAACTGATTAAATGCAATTGTCTATTCACCCTCCATTTTAAAGAAAGAATTTCCAGAAGTGATTAATTTCCCTAGATATTTCTGCCAACTTGTAAAGTGTAAACTAGTACAAAATCGAAGCTTCAAGAAACACAATGTTTGGTAATAGTGTTCAAAGAAAGCCTCAAGTTCAATTTGTGCCCAAATGAACCCCATGCTCGTCATTTTTGTCAATGTCTTACCTTATGTCCAGTGAACTGAAAACCAATTAAACTGCATTCTCCGCTTTCTAACCATGTATGTAATAGCAGAAAGATAACCCTCAAGGTGTAGAAGGGGTCGGTCATGTTATGTACGGCCCACAAGGCCATTGTTTGTTATCTTCAACCAAGGGCAAACACTACTGCTTTAAAGTGATCACTCACTTCTCATGTGGGTATGTGTGTGTATTTTGTTATACACACACCACACGGCTGCCAACACTATGGTGCATTAAAAACACTGCCACCTGCAATCCACCATCAAAATGACATGCCTCTGGCAGAAGACAACCCACCACGCCTGCTCTGCCAAGACCTGGGCAACCTATCGCTTCTGGCTCTCACCCGATATGATTACTACCTTCTCATGACCACCTCACTGGCCTCGTCTTCTTCCTGACATCCTTTTCGTCAACAATTTGCTTAAAATACTACTGTGGTTTCTGACATAACATTATAATGGCAGTTATGAGTGGTGGTGGTAGTCAGTTTTATTTGGTGCTCTTGACCCAAAAGAATACATGCTGAACAAATGAAAAGATTTCCCGATAAGCAGAGAAATACCCATAGTTCTGAAATCTAGACAGTTGAGGGTTTTTTTTTTATTAACCTGGATATCCAACCCGTTATGCGAGCCGACTAATCCCAGGGCGACCACCTGCTTTGCAGATAGCCCGGAGTCACTGCATTTGAACCTCCGTGGCCACAAGGGGATCTTTATTCCTCCTTGGATTTGAACCTGGGACCTCCTGGTACTTTTGACCTTTGAAGCCAAGCTCAAACCAATCAGGCACCACCCTTGTGGTTGACAGTTGAGTTTTTAAGACCATGTCACAGTAACATTAACAATGGTAAATGAGTTTAAAGCAAAATTGGGCACACATTAAATGAGTTTAACGCAAAATTGGGCACACATTAAACACGAGGGCTTTTGGGGGATTGTGACCAAGTATTGTGGCTATACTTGTCATTTACCTATAAATATGGTATGAAGTTGCAAGCATAGTTAGAACTAGCTGTCTATCAAAGCATATTGCTAGTACATTAGACTATTTAAACAACAGAACACTATGTCCTAGAAAACTAGGCAATGAAGAAGACTATTTTAAGCATGCGACTTATGCAGAAAATTAACAACAGAAACTGAACATTTAAAATGATTCACGAATGACAACTACTACATAGCTTAATGGATTAGATAAACAACATACCTATCAGTATCACCGTATATAACTTTAGCCTTCCACTTATCATGTGTGTTCACAAGTAAAATAGCAGTTTCTAGTGTTCTACGGCCACACTGAACAATACTGTCTGCAAGCTCAGCACAAGGCATGCGACCACTAAAACCAGCAGCTGTATAGCCATATGTGACGTTTGCTATTAGCTTCAATGCAAGCTGTCTTGCATTATAAATCTGAAACAAAGATTAAAGTACGCAAGTCAATAGTCAATAAATTTCATATTTATTGAACAAGAGCTCATAGAACATGACCTTAGTCCTTATTGAATAACAATCAGCACAGACCATGCAAACTCCAAGTCTGACTCCAAAGTTATAGATGGAAAGGCATCACAACATGATAACTCTTGAACACACAGCTACTATTGCAAATAGCATTAAATACCAACACCCTAACAGAATCTCGAGAAAATTGGCCAATTGGCCTATCAGATATACTTGGACTAAACAACAATTCAAATATGAGCTATCTGTTGAGAAGCTTGATGCTTCAGTAACAAAGTTCCCTTTTTGCACAATTATGCACCTTATTACCAGCAGAAAGGTAAACAAGAATTGTCCAGCTGGTTAAATTCTTTAAGTTGTAACAAGCTAAGAAGTAGCATGAGACTTCTATGATATGAGGCATTCAGTTCTGCTATTTCCAGACAATGTCAAGAAAGCTATTGCTCTTTTTTAAAAGATATAACAAAACCCCATAAGCCCAAAAGCTGAAATCAATCATCGTTGTCCAATTTCCACACAGAAATCATGTTAGAAATACCAAACCAGCCATGCTGGATGTTTGGTTGCATTGTGTTTCCATTCCAACTCAGCACTAAGTCAGATGTTTGAGTTCTGCCAAAAAGTGCTATGAAAATAGCAATTCCGTTCACTTATTTGGAAAACGTTCAATGATGCATGACTTTTCGGCTAAAAGAAGCATATGGCTATGTAGATAGCTGTCCCATGTACGAGTAAAACGATCTTTCCCGACAATGCTTGACAACAAATTCACATTTGATTAACTCTCAGACATATATTCCATATAAATATGAAAGAAAGCAATAATGCTAATTGCTACATAAAGTTGCATTGACAACTTGATCTAGGCATCAGATTAAGAAGTACATGGGATCTAGGAATACAAAAAGTGACCGAGTCAGTAGTCTAATCATACCCGATGAAGTACTTTTTGCGAAGGAGACAACTTCTTCATTGCCTGTTTAACCATAATTCGGGTCGACAATATCTCATCAAGTAACCGAGGTAGTATGCCTTTACGGACCTGAATCATGGCAGTAAGATAAAATTTTAAACATAAAATCTTGAGTAGCAAGCAAGATAAAGCATAAGACAATTAACACATTTCTCTCTCTCATAGGGCAAACAATCTTTCAATAGAAGATCTGCACTACAACCAAAATGACGATCTAGAACATGCAATATGCCAGAATAGCACAAGATCAATATGGCAGTGCCATCAGGACCTTAATAATAGCCTACAGTAAAACAACTCCCAAGATTCAAGCCTAATTTGCATCCAAGACCTAGACCTAGGTAAAACCTCTTTGCTCTGCTAGATCATGGATTCAAATGTCACCCCTATACTGATCCCTAACCAACCCTATCCATACAGCAATGAATTATATATATATATATATATGTGTGTGTGTGTGTGCGCTAGGTCTCGAATTTGTTGATCATAATGATTAACCAATTTGTAAGAATTACATGTCAGCTTTCAACCATGATCCATACAATTTACAGTGTGTAACTTGGTGGTTATGATTATAAGCTAATTACCAATTAATCCAAAATTCCATGGTTGATATGCATGTAAAAGAGAACAACTTTACTGACATTATGATTGCGTGCAATACGTCTTTAGCTGGAAGATTCGAAGGAATCACTACCTTTGAAGGCACATACATCACACCATTTGGAGTAAGTAGAACTTCATGCTTCAATCCCTGCAGAACATCTGGTTCTGGTGTATATGAACTAACGCCAAGCGTATTTGGCTTCGAAGGGGTAACTTTTCCGAGGCATGTACAGAAACAGAGATTGTAAGCAATGACCATTGATGGATAGAGGGACTGAAAATCTAAAACAACAACTGGATCTGCATAGAAGCCCGATTCTGGCTCCATAACAAGTGGCATGCATTCCATTGCGGGTTGACATGCAACCTAATTGACATGAAATTACCTTAGTAACTGCCGATCAATCAAGGAGATAAAGAAAATTGTAGTAGACGCAATAGATCCTACAGTGATGGATAAAGAGGCTATGCCAGTTATTCATATACAAGAGTTCTACTTAATTATATAAATAGACGTCAGCACAAATACTATTGGTTTTTGTTTTCTCTTTTTGTTTTGCTTGGTTATTTGGCATGAAGTGAATAGGAAGGTAAAGAAATGCAGTTCAAAACCTTTTTGTTTATTGAATGTGTGATTATGAGACGAAACGTTATCCATCACAGAGAAGATGGCTTCCTTAGTCCCTTGCTCTTTACTGGTTTAAGTAGGGCAATTGAGATACTCAAGAAAAGAAAGCAACCAATTGAGGTGGTCAAGTAAAGAGAAGGGATGACAAGCCATTGCATGCTAGCTCCTTTCACAACATATTTGGGAAGAGATAATGCTTATACAGCTTCACACCCATAGAAGAAAGGTTGTTATATTTATATACTAAGATTAAAAGGAAATACTAAGAAGGATTTTTCTATTTTTTTTGGATATACCATGAAGGATTAGTGTCAACCTGTCTTCAAAAAATGGTCAAGCACATGAAAAAATGAGAACCGCTGCAGTCCACAGATTTAATACTGACGCATTAAACAGAAGTAAGTTCAGCAAAAACCTGTTGGCTTCCAGGAGAAATTGCAAGATAATTTTGTGTGTGTGCCAATCTCACTAACATAGATTCCACGCGGTACTGGGAACCTCTGGAAAGAACAGAAAAGAAATCAATACCAAATACACGGGCAAGCTCCGATGTCCTGTTTATCTGCAGACACAAGTGATACTGCATATTGTAAATTTCATCAAGTGGTCAGAACATATGAAAGCTACTGCCACAACATCTAAAAGCAGATTTCAATGAATTATTTCCTTCCCTAATGGATATCCTTCATGTCAATCTTACAATTTAACTTCTTCAGACACCGCCTAAAACCAATTGAATATTGGAGATTTCTATTAAAAAGCACCATCATCGCCCCCTATCACCTAGGCAAGTTGACTAAAATTCAATTATAGAAAAACACAGAGTATCCAGGATCCAAAATAAGAACCACTCTTACGTTGCAATTTCTGCAAAGTAGGGATAAAAATGGCAAGGCTATCAACTTCAGTTGCATTGGGTGCATAATGGATATTAGATCTGTTTCTACACAGAGATTCCATATTGTATATCGAACAATAACTGAACGGAAACACAAAGAAATATTTTTTGGAATTTGAGACGGATCATTAACACTCAAATGAAGACATAAAAAGTAATAAAATGAAAGATCTGGTTACAGAAAATATTATCTAACAATAGGAAGAAAGAAAACGAAGCTTATACCCTAAGATATGATGATACAGTATAAATCTATCCTTTTCTAAAAACATAAAGAACACATCATAAATTTATTCCGAGTATAAGAAAATGCTTACAACACATACCATATCAAGTTGGTTCATCACTTGAAAGTTTAACTTTGCCCTCTCTAGAACATATTCTATACATCGATATCTTGCTTTTCCAGGACCACTAGCAAACCACTTTGTCAATGTTCTGCAATGAATAAATGGAATTTTTCGTCTAAGAACTGCTTCCACCACTGCTTCAGCTGTGTACATATTAAGCTTAACCTCACCGCGGGCCAACCGCCAAAGATTGAGGACAATCCTACCACCAACATGGACACCACTTGCATGAGTTCGGCCCCACTCATCCTCAATGATTGCATCATTCAGCGGATCAATGTCAGGAAATGCTTCAGGGAGCACATCACCCACCATTCCTTTATCTGGAATATCTGAAACTCCGGCATTCAAAATAGTTTGAGATGGTGTGCGAGATATTTTACTAAGCAATCCAATTCCAAGATATGCAGCCCTTTCAGCTAAGAAACCAAGTGAACCACCTTGAATATCCCAACCTATTAGTATATCTGGATCATGATTGCTTATGACTTCCACGAAGTCATTGAACAACTGCTTCTCTTGGGTGCAAACTAACAGCTTGCAACCTGTTATACCATCCAGATTTCTGTGAAGTAAAATACCACATGAGAAGTAGAAACCCTTTTCTAGAAATACCAGCAAAACACATGACACTGCTTATAGAAGAAAGGTCAGTGATATGAACCTAAATTTATCTACTAGGAGGTGAAGAAAAAGAAAAGAAAATCCTCAGAAGAAATGTGGTCTAGGTGTTCAAAATTCTTTCCGACTTTGGAGAACAAGAAAATATAACAGGTTCCTTTGGGAAAGATGAGGCATGGAAAAAGGTGGAATATTCCTTGGGAAAGATCCAACTCTCATCAATGCTAATGAACATGTACAACAAAAATGAACATGTACAACAAAAATAAACTTGCACAAAACACCAGAATTTTGCTCACTGTATCAACACCTCATTTAGGTCGAATATCATACAGATCAAACAAGACATAGGAAAGTTCAACCATCCTCCTTATTACCAAGAGTTAGTAGTATTTTTCTATTTAGTTTGTGTTCAGGGAAACCACTATGGTCTAGGACTATTTATTTGTAAAATCGTCCAGGATCTCAAATCTTACATGCCTAATTGAAAACTGATCCTATAATCCTATAATCTTACAAACCACCTCATTCAAGAAAGATAAATCATAAAAAGGCACAGTGCAGTTCTGTATTACTTGTCCACCCATGAGAATTGCAATACTCTCTTTTTGGGATGCCCCACCGAAACCACATGATTTTCTTATTTGAAAAGTTTTCATGTTAAAGTCACTTATTAATTTATTATCATCATTAGAAATAATTGGCAGTTCAATTTGGGTCCACAAGATTCCTCAATTTCGAATTTATTAAAAGGTTTTTTTGAAAGTTCCACAAATAGTCAAATGATTTCCTTGAACCATGTACCAAGTCAAATTTTGCAATGTTGGGATGGGGGAAGTACATTATGGCAGATTATAAACAAGTTTTGCAGGATAAACTTGCTCTGTCTTTCATAATATCTTAAACAAACATTGGTCATGGACTCTGTTTTAAAGAGATTTTTATTACAATTATTTTCAATTTCCTATAATGTGATAATTAGCATTTGGTTTAGATGATGAATGGTCACCCTAAGTCGTTTAAAAACAAAAACAAAACGATCTCAACAAAAGGTGAATGACATATGAATCAACAATGCTGTTGTCATAAATCGACAAGCATTAGGCATAAGCAAGAAAAATAGTTGCATTAACAACGGAACTTTACTCTAGCTTCCATGTTAGTACTCGAACTTAAAATTTCCTAAGAAATAGCAGAACGTCACAAAGAATAATTTTAGTCATTAGAGTGACAAATGAAGTAAAGCTCCACGTTTTCAGGTAATTAATTCATGTTCAAGAACTAGATGAAGTGAAGCTCCCATTTTCATGCAATCAATTCCCTTTTTCAAGTATTAATTTCTTTTTTAAAGTTTGGAGTGTTATGGTGGGTTTTTCAGTCACTCAAGAAATAAAATAATAAGGTCTTTTTAAATGCAATGGCTAACATACAATCGGAGTGAGGTTCCATCATCTTTTAGTGTCAAAAAAGCTAAGCAAAGCGGAATCTATGGGTAATAAAATGGTCCACCTTCTAACAGCTGCCGTCTCACTGCGCAAGAGGACATAACTATTGATTATTGACTCATCATCTTCCTGGATGGCAACTGCTATGAAACTGACAGCATCGAATCGGGGATCAGGTCTTAGATCTCCCCTAGATTCGGCTTGGACCTGTCAATAAGTGTTGCATTAGTCTCGCATAACAAAGATATCTTTCTGAACACAAACATAATATTCGGTTATCCAGATTCAGATATATCTACACGTACAAACATGATGAATAGTCTAAGAGAACATGTCAATTGAGAGTTCAACAATATAGGATGCAGAGTACACAAATCAGCATGCACGCCATTCCCATAACCATCATAGAAGTCAATGACTCATGCTTCAAGTTGAGCACATTCAGTTGTAATTAATATGGGATGAGGCAAAAATAACTCCTCATGAGTTCCAATTCGCTTCTTCCAGGAGTTTCCACAACTATCCTTTTTATTAGTCTAAATTTTTGACAGATTTTATATGATTCTAACTCCGATACTTCATGCTTTAAGTAAAATCATCTACATGTAATTACGAGTGTGGCTCTTTCAGAAAAGTTGCTGCATAGATTCAATCATTCCCTTGATGCAAACAAGGGGCATATGCTACAATGTCAAACAGTGATGTCAAGGAGAAACCAACCAAACCTCTATGCTAAACATAGTCAGCTGCTGTCCTGCACCAATACTTGCAGGATCCCTAAAGCCTGCTTGACTCAGAGGAGTCAATTTTGATTTTCCTTCAGGACCAGATATCTGAGAGACATCTTGTAAGCAAATATTGTGCTGCTGCGATTGCAAAGTATTTTCTTCAGTTCGCAAAACTGCCGGCACCCTAGGAGTACATGTCTGTGGTTTCAAAACATGGCTTCCCTGACCTAGCTTTTTCGAATGATCCAAATTAGTTTCAATACTAAACGTTGATCCTGAGTCCAACAGAGGCCCATTCTTCATGTCAGCAGAAAAATCTAGTGAATCCATGGCATGACCAAGGGAACCTGCAAACACTTAACAATTACTATGTACTTGTAGAACCTGTCACTTGGAAACATTAATAATACTTTACCCTTTGGTGATGAAGATTCTTCTGTTGATGCATTTACATTCTCTCTCAAGACATCTAACATCAAAGAGTCAACATAAGCATAATCCTGAAGAATTATGAACTTTCAACAAAAGTTGGCTGTACCAGTACCATCATGAAGCAACCATCTTTTAACATCATCTGCTGATGGAGGTAACATTGCAGGTGTCAACATGTAGAGATGGGAACCATCGTTACAATAGTGAGTAGGAACTCCCATGGCTTGATCTTGGCGAGGTGTCGGGTCATCTATTTTAGACTTGGTGTGTTTAACTTCTTGATAAGTCCCATCAACGAAATGGGGCCACTCATCAATGTCTTTGTCCTCAACTAAATGATGCAGAAAATAGATTGTTATCAATGGAAACAAACGGTTATGACATCAGCATAACTGGTAGAGAGAGATACATTCAAGTGCATGTCAAACAGATCCCGAGTTTTTCGCATGCAACATCCAATAACAGGTATAAAATTAACATGGCCCTCCACTGAAACTTGGTATGTATGACTACTCAAGAAATAATTCATGGAGAAAGGTCTAGACTAGTTCTTCAGCCTTATCCCCATCTGCAGGAAAGCAGCAACCAGGGTGACAGTTGGTGACGAACCAACTGCAGGGGGTCCATTTGTCAAGTTTAACAGACGAGGTCTCCTGCAAAAACTTAAGATAATAGAGTCCACTCATTTACTATTAATGTTGGATTGTCAAGCACACACATACCAGTATGCCTACTATGAACTCCATCACCCTCGTCTGATTGCATGAGAGTCGTCCTGGTTGAAATCTCTAGATCCTCTGCCGATGTCCCTGTGACTCCTGTAGAAGATACTTCTCTGTTAAAACTAATCTTGGAGGTGTATGTAGCCTACTTAATATTTTTCTTTCAACCAGACAAGTAGACAAACCATTTGAAATAGCAGCATTTTTCCAGAAGTTTTTCACTTCCCAAAAGTTGGTCATCACCTAATAAATTAATAATGTCATTTGACACCTTACTATGAAAATTTTCAAGATTCATTTTAAGAGCAGATTTTCATCCTCAAAGTTAGGGGATGTATGGTAAGTTCTGAATTACTCCTTTCCCTGCAATAAAACCAGTCATTTCATGGTCATTTGATCCTTCAGCTGCTCTAGCAACAAGCCTGCAATTAGTCCTTCACATGAATGACCACATCCATCCTTGGAGGTGCTCAAGGGAATTAAAAACTTAATACCAGAAGAAAAAAAAAGCAGTCTACCCTCTGTATGAACAAGAATTAATGTTATCCTCTGCATGGAGAGCCTTACCAGATGCCTGCACAGCAGAAGCTTCCACATTCATATCCTTCACATAAATAGCTTCTGAATCACCAACGGTTGGAGGACATGTTTCTTGCTCATCATTCCTTCGTTTAGTAGAGGAAATGGTGTAGTCATTTGATTCCTCCTCTGGAGTAACCTCTGCATCATGACAAATCTCAACTGTTGGCCTCTCACCCCGATGAGAACGCTTTCTCCTCATCAGATCACGAAGTGAGCATCCAACAATTGTACTTCCTAACTTTGATAAACATTTTTCTGCATCATCAGAACACCTGCCAGCATTGGTTGCTGCCGCACAAGTTTCCGTACCAATTTTTATTTCACCATCACATTTACCAACTTTGACATTAGTTGGTTGAACATCATTCATGTTCTCGGACAAACAAAAAGGCAAAGAGCTCCATAAGGGACGGTTTCTTTTGTGCTTCCTGCTGAAACTTGAACCAGAATCAAGTTGTACTCTCTCTTTCAGGGACTTCTCCATGTTAGATGTTTTACCAGTATAATGTACCAGTTTTTTACCGTCACCAGATCCATCCACTTGAGGAATTTCTTTCCTTGATAATGATTGAGGAGAAGAGTTACCATCAAAAGTGGAAGGAGAGCTTTTACTCTTATTTTTACACTCTACATCAGTTGAATCTTCAACACAATCAAGAATGTCTTGACACTCTTGTTGGGATGCACTTACAAATTCCATATCAGCTTTTTCCAGCACCTTATTAATCGTTGTTGCAGGCATTAATGGACTTAAAATGGTCTCTCTTATAAGTTCATCATCAGAGTTTATATCCTCTGCAGCTTGAGAAGATGCTAGCCAATTTAGAAGCCTCAAAGCCTCGGGATCTGCAACCTAGACACCATTCACAGACATGAAAGAATTACAGGAACCGACTATAGGTAACCTAGAGAGATGTATATAGACACACATTTATTCATAACACAACTAAAACTGTTCAGAAGATTTATAGAAGATCTGGACCAGAAATACACTCAGCATTTAGCAAGCTACACAACGTATATCTTGCCAATATAGTCAGCTTCAAAAGTTCCCGGAGAGACTTTCCTTTCTGCTTTACTGTGATTTACCCAAAATCATCAGCGGCAAGGATTGCTCAGATTACGGCGAGAGATTAGTGAGAATATGGTGCAATAGAGATAGATAAACATGTAACATAGAATACATATGTACATAACTTTCAACAAGAAAACAGGTTTCAAGCAGCAAAAAATCATGCAACTATGAAAATGTTTCCCTTTACCCAGTAAAAGAATAAAACTTATTGATGAGAGAATTTGTGTACCATACAAGTAGTCAACTAAGAGAAATCAGGTAAAAAGAGTATAAAAACCAAATCCTGGAAAAAAGAGAGTGAAAGGGAAGCATGTGATCACCGTAGATACCAGAGAATAGAAACATCAGTTATAGATCCCAGCTAATGTCTATTAACAATTTTGACTGATCTTTTGGGCTGGGGGGGAAGGGTAGGCAAAGCAAATCATGTATTTTCTTTTTGTTTTTGAGCACTGCGAAAGAAACAAACAGAAATAATGACACTGTCGACAAACCAATTGCATATGTTTCATGTATTCTGTTGCAGTTTTAGATATCATTTTCCTGCCACAACAATTTAGAACATGATCGGAAGTCGTCTATTTTTCCAATCCTTGTACCTTATTTATCACCGATAGCTATAGACCTGACATCTTTCTTCAGAATTTACGTTGATCGACATGACCAGCAAGGGACGAGTAATGATGCATAGATTTGAATAATTTTATTTAAGCTTCTATATAGCACCACTTCCAATAAAATACTAAATATTAGATCGTGAAGCTACTGAACTACACTAAGTGATGGTTATCAAAACCCAGTATACCCCTTTTCCATGGAGTACAGAACAGAAAGAACATCGCATTTAAGCATGTATTTACTTCATAGTAGCTGCAGCAATAACAGACAACCAACCACCTAACCATCAAGAAATGGTAATTAATATGACTCACTGATATATATCTCTACATATATGGAACTGACCTTTAAGTCATATGAAAAAATGGCTTCTGATGATTGCAGTTCACCACTTGATAACAGAACTGGACTACCACTTTTCATATCATCCGGTTTTGCAGTGTAGCGGTGTTGTGAATCTTGTGATAACAATAGTCTCTTGTTTGATGACTGCAAATGTTTGCTGCTGTCATTTTCAATGTTGACCTGTCCACTTTCAACCATATCTCTTCCTTCACTTAAAGATCTTACAGATTGCAAAAACATTTTCTCGGTCTCAGTTGGAGTACAAGGTAAGGAACTTTCTGCAGCACACAATTCCAATAGATTGTTTTCAAATTCAACTTTATTTGACAAAGCACTCAAAACATTATGTGGGCTAGGTCTTCCGGGATCAGATGATATGGGTTCCATATGCATTCCAGTGTTCTCAAATTCCTATAACAATGAAGAACAAACTGATGGTTAAGAATTTATGGTTGAGTGGAAATATGAGAATGTCCACAAGATTGAAAAAGACCTCCCAAATTGGTATGAGTGACTGAACCATTCTGACATCCGAAAGTGTCTGTGACAGTGATGAGTACAATTTATATTGCTGGTTAAGGATATCTGCAAAAAATCAAATTGACATAAATTCAGTCATTTCCATGTGCCTAGGAGGATCGATAATAACATTGTAAGACTCCAAAACACAACTAACCATCAATAGCAGCATCTCCCTCAAGTTCACATACGCTTTGACGTTTAACAAGGTTATCCTCTAGATTTTGACTAGGGGAATGCCAAGTCCAAGTGTCAGGAATAGTGGATGACAACCAGATTGTTGATTCTAGAAAAACATCGCCATTTGAATCTGCCTGACGGATTCCCACATAATTGTAGACAAATGAAAATACTATAAATTCAGACCATCTCATCCATGTCTATATTTAAAAACCATAAATTTATGCACCCTAACAACTATAACCTGAGAGTTAGTAGCTATCGAGGACTGATCCATTGGTTGCTCATCTTCTACATAGTAATTTGCCTTCCTCCGAGTGAAAACATGTGGTACAGGAAGGCGGAATTTCATCTTTGATACATGCAAATGTCCCATTCCATGCAAGTTATAATCAACCTAGAGAGCGTGAATCAAGGAAAGGTAGAAAGACATTACTGAAAGAAGTGCAGTCAAAACCAGAAAGGCACCATTCTATGGAAGTTGGATGAGTGTACTGTCATGACCCTGCTTCACCTTTGTTATGAAAAAGCACACTCCAGGCCAAAATAGTACATGTATACAAGAAAGCATAGCTATAAGAAGAACATATGCGGTAATTCTGATCATCCCATCTCCCTTGTGAGGAAGGCTGATCTATACCCCATCCAATAAACACCCCGCCAGACGAATATAATCACTTATGACACACATGTCGTTTCATAGATCATGAAAACATAATTTAGTACTATAGACAAGCAAGATCAAAGGTTGGTTTTTCTGGGTCACAAACAACCGATATTAATTTATGACACCTCCTGTTCTAATGAACCATCATTTTATAAAAAACCGATAACCACCACTGGTACATTTTCAGTACCCAGCATCAGTTGCAATTGTGTGCCCCATATTCAAGGGTCACCAAAAGGAATCAAGATGAGATGAATGGGGTATATACAATAGATATGTAAACCCAAGCTTATATAACTTATGAGTTCATAAGTCTGCTCAAGATGACCACCCATGCATATTGAGACTGACATGCATACTTTCTGTACTGAAGCTTTTATAACAAAAACCACCAACAATAATATAAACATCAGGGGCATCAGGAAACTAGTATACTTTCTGTACTGAAGTTTAGTAGCAAAAGAGTCTTTACCAGAAACTGGAGAAGAAATGGAATATGTGACTCATGAGGCTGCAAACTCTTCTCAAGAACTGAACCACCCTGAGAAATGGGATCCAATAGTGGAAGGTTAACATTGGAAGTCATGACAGAAAAAAACTTTGTTTTCGTTAAGATGTCAAACAAAAACTAAAAGAACACTCAACTACATAACAGCATTAACATAACCAGTAGTACTGCCAGATAAAAATAGATTCCATGGATAATGTGACTGGATACTACACCCATGCATGCTTATCTGTATCAAGGGACAGTTAAAATGTAAATATACTTATAAGACCGACCCTCAACATAGTTTGATATGATGGCAAAATGACCCAGCCTCACCACCTTTGATGTGATCATAATGTACAGCCCTCAACATCGTCTAACATGTCAGGAAAATGGCCAACCCTTAGAATAGTCCAATGAGATTGGAAACGAGTAGTCATGCCATCATATGTTTCTATACATGTTACCTAGGGCATCATGCATATCACTGATTCCTTCCTAAGCACTTACTGTACCTGGCTGTTCTAAATCAGTAAGCTCATCAAGATAATCTCCCTTCATCCCTCTGTCATCATGAATTTCCCAATTACAGGCATCAATCCTTTTCCAGGCAAGATACTATAAGACCAGATGGTTCAGACTTTGAAACAGCTATAGTGGGAAATTATGCAATATCAACATCATCCAACTGGCAAGTGGCACGCATATTTTGATTTAATTGCCAAAATAGGCACTTAAGTGGATATATTTGACGACTAAGACAGAAATTTCCAGATGAGCTTCAAATACATCCTTCATCTTTGATTACATGAGAAAGCTCATGTAGCATGAGACCTCAACTTCAGTAAAGGCTGGACGACACTGCTAGTCTGCTATATTTGCATAATAAAGGATCACAATAACCCATTTCTGAAGAAGATGAATTTGGTCCTTTACAGTGACATTATATGCATGTGAAAGACAAATAGTATACCGAAGCAGAGTAATACAACCAGATAAGCAAAACACAAAGTACACAATATAGGAGATAGAATTCAAGTTAAGAACAAAACGCCAAAACTGACAAACATATAGAAGCTTCAGATGTTTACCAAAAGAAGCTTTGCTGCCCGAGAGACATCCTGTGGATGATATCTTTGATCTTTGTCAAGGAGCTATGACATAACTCAAAGTAGTATGACCACTTGGAAAAAAAAATGGAGATGATTAAATTTCGGATTCTGATCATTGTCGTTCTAATAAAGATAGAAAACTATCTTCAACTCTTAGGATATCTAGTAATTTAAGATAAACCAAAAAAAAAAAAAAAAAAGGAAATTTTATATATTTCTTAAATTTCAAGGAGAATGGTCAAAGTTAATCCCAGAGTATGTCACCAAAATGCCCTTTAACATATGATAACAGGACAACAACAAAAACTAGGCTAAACCTGGATTGAGCAGCCAAACTATAACTATCAAGGAAAAACAAAATAGCAGCCAAGAAAGTACAACACCTCATCCAGTATTTTACATGGGTGGACAACAAGATTTATATACTTAAAGAAGCTGGCAAGCAAAAATAAAGAAGTACATGTGAGATCCAACAAATGATGATAGAAATAACGAAAACAATTTATACATTCTCTTAACATTTTAGGTTGTATGGTATAAAGAAAAACCAAAAATCACAAGAGCCAACAACGGAAGAAAGATAATAGTTACACCAGAAGAAGAAATCAGCTCAGACTTCATATGTTAGGCCCACTGAAACTCATGTAATGAACTGCGAGAGTAAAGCCAGTTATTAGAAGGCCTGTCAAATCTGTAACTGCAGTTTTACTGATACAACTTGGGTTTAGTCAATCTGTTCAAACATTCTGAATATGATATATTTTATCTTCACTGATCAAAATGCTTCAGCATCTCAAATACAGTCTGTTAGCTTCCTACCTTAACATCCTAACCAAACAATTCTCTCCTTGCTTCAAGAACTAGCGAACATGGCAGAGAAGAAAACTCATCCTACAAATCACATACATGTGAATTTAACAGACTAAAGCATTGGATACAAGTAAAGCTTTGCATAGAGTTGCTCAGATGCATCATAACCATAAAACCTTCTTGCACGGACAAGACTGCAGCTATGCACATGCTGCCGTTTTGAACCAGCACTACCTTTAAGCTGCAAGAGTTGAAGAATTAACTAATCAACATCAGTGCCTACACTTTAACATGAGCTGCTGCATATAGCATTTCTCATACCAAAATACCTTCAGTGCCTTCTCAAGAGCAAGAGATATCATTCGCACACAAGCATCACCTGAACAATATGAGAATAATATACTAATGATGAGCAAAAGGGTGAACAAAAAAGGAAATCAAAATGTCATTAGCTTTGAAAAGACATCAACTATATCCAGCTAAAGCAATGCCAAAATTTTGGGCTACCAACAACAAGCACTCCATTCACTTTTATAATGAAAAATAAGAATCTCAATACTCAAAGATACGAGTATATTACATCATCACCCCCTATAAAAGTAACAAAAACCAGATCTAAGAAGTGCATAAATTACCAAGTTGGTCAAACTCAAACAAAAGAACAAACCAGGAACAAGGTGACAAACATTACTTCAAGGTCCATGTCCAGCTTTGGATTTACTCTTTAGCCCTCAATGACTTACGATGTTGTAATGTTTCATATAAAGCCCATAAAATTAATAATTTTTCATTATACTTTGAGGCTAACTTGTATTACAGCCTCTTCGAACCCAAAGTAAGAAACCTAAGAACTTCAAATGCTTGGTTAAAAGAAATAAATTTAATGACGTCAGTGTCAATAAAGAATATCAAAGGAATTTTCTCAGCATCATTTTTAATTATACATAAACATCCTGATAATCACAGTTCACAAGGGTTAGTATTTAATACCAATTCAAGGTTCCAGTCGACAGCTCTAGATCATTCATACAGCTCTAGATTAGACATAATCAAAAGCAGTTTCCAGAGTCTGTAATTAGAAAATGTATTCCAAAAAACAAGGACCTATTATAAGAATGTGCGCAATACCTTCCTGGTCTGGTTGATGAACTATATCCGAGCAAGGAACGTATAGATAGGGTAAAGCCTGCATGACAATCAAGATAATTCACACTCAAGAACTATTCGACAAGGATCAATAAGATGATTAGACACTCTGTATCAGAAAACTGAAACTTGATTACACCATATCAACCTCCTGTAATTAACCAGTTACATTTTCTGATACAACTTTATGGCTCAAAAATTCACTCTTTCTCCAGGGACCACTCCAGCATTCTCGCTACCTAAATAGACTATTCCCCATGTCCAGTTGCATTATGATAAGTTATGTGCTTTCCTTATTACTTCCAAATTTACTGTCAGATCTCCATCTTGTCTTGTGGAATATGTAATGGAGCTCCATTTAGAGAAGACTAAGGGTCATTAAGAAATTGTTTTCACAATCACAGGACACTATATTTAATAGGTATAGAATCTTCATATCATCTCCAGGAATGCAACTCATTATGAAGTAGGAACAAAGACAGTACATCATTTGAACAACAGGTCATCACACACTCAAGCATACAAACACAAATAACAAGGTTCTAAATAGCGTGAGGCGTGGCGTGGCGTGGCGGTGAGGTCAAGCCTCAAGCCTTGGAAGCCACAGCGAGGTCACAGCGTTTTTTAAAGCGTGACTTATGGCGGCAAATCTCTATATCATATATAAAAGTATATACATGAACATATGTTTTCAACTATTATCATAAATATATATACTAAGGAATTTAAATTAAGTTATATATTAAAAATTAACAAATAAGACAAAAAGATAAGTAAAATCAATATCGTGTTACAAAAACCGTGCATTACGCCGTGGCATGCCTCAGGCATATGTGGCATGAGACACAAGCTTTGGCAAGAATCCTTGCTCCTGGCTCATATTCACATAGGCCACTCATAAGAGACTGAGGGGGACTTGCTCTGTGATAAACATTTTTTTGACTCCATATATGAAAGGCCCCTCACGGAAGGAGCATCTCCTCAATCAAACTAAGGCGTCAGCGAGAGACCTCTATAAAATCATTATCTGATAGCTTTTACGAACTCGGACCAGTGCAACAAAGTTTAGACTCTCGCGATTGGACTCCGTCTTTAAGGCTTTAAGGCTAACCATATGGCGGCTGGAAATAAAGACTCGTTCTTGTGCACCTCTGATTGGATATGGTCTAGAGATCAACTTGCGCCTTTGATGTTAGGCCCCGGCGGAAAGTTTTCCGAACCGAACTGAATGGAACTGTTACTCACACTTGCCCTGATTATACCACTTAACAGCAACTCCTTGACCTGTTTTTCTATCTCAGCCTTTTGGATGTGGGGTTATCTGTAGGCCTTAAAGTCACAGGCTCACTACCAGGTTTTAAGGGAATGCGGTGGTTGTGATTCACGGCACACCATGGCGGCTGTTGCGGCGAGCTTTTTCGAACATTGACAAATAAACGCCAAAACTGTAAATGAGTAGGACTGAGAATCTTACTTGATGAATATGCAAACAGGTCTTCTGGCCAGCTGGAGTCGACCCATATACTCTGATCACAGGAACTTCATTCACCTTCCCACCTATCCCATTCAGATATATAAGATATTAAAACACATGTGTTCGTACAGAACCTTTTGTGCACAGAAAATAATAGACCTTCAAGACTAGATATCCTACAAACTCCACACATGAAAATAATAAAACATAAGTTTTTATATTTATGATGTGAATGTATAGTCAGTTTTGCATAAGTATGTCTGCAAATAGCAAGTACCAGGCTTGTTAAAAAATCCCTAAATGCATTGTTGTTCATTAGCATTTATAACATATATAACAAAAACCTTTAAATAAATACCACACAGAGATATTTCAGATGAACATAAAATCTTTGGTATTGGAAATAGCATGTGATTATATCAACGGAAAAGAACATACTACCTCAGTCCCACACAAATACAACTAAAGTTGATGTACTTTTATGCTCTAAAAATCAATCCATTTCAAATCTCAGTTTCTTCAGCGTTAATGCTTAACCGTTTAGTTGGGAGTTGTTAAAAATAAAGGCCTTGTATGTTGTGTTGGGAAAATTAACCGGTACAAATGCTCAAATGCATGCATCTCTCTCTAAGAATGAAAAAGGTTCAAAACTTTATGTTCAAATATTCACCCGTCTTCATCAAGAAAAAACAGCCGCATCAAATTTCTAAAACGTAATAGCATAAAACCATGGAAAAAGGAGACACTTGTAAGAGTATACAAAAGTTATGTCACGATAAAATAAAATTCATGACCATATATATACCTTGAAAGCTACTGTAACATAGATCAAGGTCTGGAATTGGAGGAGACATGTAGTAATCTATTGATACTATCCGAACGCTGAAAATTTTCGAATCAGACTGGGAGTCTTCCATTGAGTCCACTCAGCTTTCAGAAAGCTGGACTGATTATTTAGAATACGATTCCCACCATCTGCAATTGAGAAACACCATCAAGATTAGGGTTTGAATGTAGGATTGAGGGCTTGTAAATTTGAGATTTGGTAGGGAAAACCGACATGGGTTTATTTGGCGGGTGTCATTTAAAACTTCCTCTGTACACCTTACCCTGGAACAAAGGTGTTTACGTTTTTCATTGCATTCGGATTGTTTTACCTATTAGTAGTTTGATCAGGGGCTGTTTGGTAATTATTGAATGGTTTTGTACATAATTATTATGTGATCAGAATGATTAAGAGACTCTTATGATACACTGCAAAATAAAATATAATTAATTGGTAATTGTTTACAATGAAATTAGAGCTCTTAATAGTTAAGGGAGACCCATATACAAAATCATTCAAAGGGTTTTAGAACCATTAAGAGGCATACTTTTTTTTTTACCAAACAAGATTCATCTCTTAACAATTTAGAGATTATCTTAATAGAACTATTAAGAGGTAAACAAACAACCCAAACATGTCTGATTTATTAAGAGATGGATCTTATTTGATTAAATAAAAGTCTATCTTTTAGGCCTTTCTTAATTATTTCATAATTTCATTCTAAACAACTATATTTCATTTTACGTTATATCATAAAAACCTCTTAATCATTCCGACCACTTGTTTGGCAATTGCTGAATGGCTTGGTGCAGAATGATTAAGAGGCTCTTATGATATAGTGCAAAATGAAATATAGTTATTTGGTAATTGTGTACAATGAAATTAGGGCTCTTAATGGTTAAGGGAGATCCATGATACAAAATCATTCAGAGGGTTTTAAAACCATTAAGAGACAATTTTTTTGTTGTCAAACAAGATTCACATCTTAACGATTCAGATGTTGTCTCTTAATGGAACTATTAAAAGATAAACAAGCAACCCCTTAATCATTCAGCAACTACCAAACAGCCCATTCGTCTACATTATTTATGTCCGTTTACATTCATTTATATATATAATATAAACATTTTTATATATCATGACATTTAATATGTAAAAGTTATTAATTAATTTAAACTTTTAGAATTTTCATATCCCTTCTAAGTTACAAAGATTTACATTTTATTATATTATTTCTTAGGAATGAAATAATTAGTAAATGTGATTATTTCTTTTACATTTGTGTTCGTTCGTTTATGTCCATTTGTTTACGTTCGTTTAGCATCTTAACGAACAAAATAAAGGAACACGAACAAGCACATTTTCCTAACGAACAAACATGAACACAAAAAATTTCGTTCTTTTAGTGTCCGTGTTGATTCATTTAATCGGTTAAGTTAAGTGAATAAACATGAACAAGGCTTTAGTCGTATTCGTTCGATTCGTTTACGGACCTACATAAATACCATTCAATTTTTGGGTCAACCCATTTGGTTTAACAGGTTAGGATCAGGGTTTTAGTTGAATATGTGTCCATTTAGAGGTGTCAGTATGGATCATAAGATTTTTGTGGTGTTTGGTTCACTTAATGGAATGTGTTGTAATTGAAATATGTCAAAGATAATTCGAAAAGAATTTAATTATGTCTAACCATGCATTTAGTTAGCAGGAATTGGAATAGAATCTTCAAAAGAATTTAAATATGTTTGTTTGGTTTGTTGAATATATTAGTGGTGGTGGTGGTGTGTGTCAATGGTAGTGGTGGTACTAGTGATGGTGGCAATGACTATGGCGACGGTAGCGGCAGTGGTGGTAACGACGATAGTTGTGGTGGGGGTAAAGGCGACAATGATAACGGTGACAACGACGACGACGATGATGATGGCAGCAACGATGGTGGTGGTGGTGAAAACCATCATAGTAGGATGGAAATGAATGAAGTAAACATAAGAGTATGATAGTTTTCTTAAAAGATAGGAGGAAGGAATTGGAATTCCTTACTAGAAGCTAGGGAATTTACATTCCACCATATTTTAAATTTGAATTTCTCACCAAAACTCTAAGAATAAACCAAATGCATGAATGGAATTTGATCAATGAATTAACCATTTCAATTCCCTCAAATTCCGAGGGATTCCAATGAACCAAGCACCATTTTTGGCTCGAATCATGTACAAAAGGAATCAAATGAATTTGGTATACCATATATCTCATTTGAAAGTAAGAAGGATTGAATATACACAAATCTTACCTCGACTAGTAGTATCGAGATGGTTCCGTGAATACCCCAGCTTGTGCACGAAACCAGGGTGTGTGCAAGCTGATAATAAGATAGGTGATAAAACAGGTAAAAATAATGATTTGATGGTGCGCAAACAGACAGTGTAATGAGGTAAGACAAGAAAAGCAAGTAAAAAAGAATGTACATAGTTGTAACATCCCCGGCGAACCGTACCAAATATTGTCCATTTTGTCTATACCTAGACTCATGGTTTTAAAACACGTATAAGAGATAAGGTATCTAGTCCCTTATAAGGCAACCTTCATTCTCCTCTCAGACCGATGTGGGATTTTAGAATAACAAATTAAACATGTAGGTAAGACTAGAAAGAAAGACAAGTAATGAACTCTCATGTCCTATTAGGCACAACTAACCCACACAAGGAGCCTATTTTCCTACTCTCTACCCGCCTTTCGAAACCCTTTATGTTGGCTACTATGTATGCCTCTAAGAACTCTTATCATATGTCATCTCATCGAAAATTCATAAAGTTATCATGTTCATCCTCAACTAGTCAAACTACATTCTCCTATGCTCACCCCTCCACGCTACATCAACCATCAACTTTCCACTCTCTTCACTTGTGTTGTTAACTGACTTCTACAAACATGCTCAAACCACCTCAATCTACCCTCTCTCATTTTATATGTGATAAGTGTAACCTCTAGTTTCGATCAAAAAACTTCGTTTGAGATCTTACTTAGCATGGTCTGACCACACGTCCATATCAACAACCTCCAATTTCGTCACTTGTGCCTTTACTGCCCAACACTTTGAACTATACAAGATAGTTGGTTTTATACTACCTTGAAGAATTTCTCCATTAGTTTTATAGGTAACCTTTTATCATAAACACTCCAGTAGTCAATCTTTACTCTAGTCATCCCGCCTTTATGTAGTGTGTAACTTCACCTACAATTTACCCTTCCCACGAATCATTAAGCCTGGATACTTTAAAATGTTATTGGGGTTACCCTCTATTCCTTGTTGCTTACTTCTACACCCTTATTTAATCCATTCCTTGCTAAAGCTATACCATGGTTATTTTGTCTTAGACTGACTAATATGCAAGCCTAGTGATTCAAAGCTCCCTTCCACTACTCTAACTTAGCATTCACCTCACCCTACACTCTGCTATCAGCATAATTATTGGGTCATCTATTGATTTGCTGATGACCTATTGATCTGTTCATCTATCCTATCAACACTTAGTAGTTATTGGTTTCTTTGTATATTGGTGTCTTGGTACATACTTAAAGTCATTGGAAAAATCGAAGACTTGTCGATGTGAAGACAGATGGTCACCGATGCAGTACTGTGGATCAACTGTCTAAATTAAACACCAAGACTCCAGAGTAGTTGATTTGAAGATTGAAAACAATTTGAAGCTACAAGCCGATTGAAGGAAGATCTTCATACACCGAAGATTTGTAAGTAGCTATTTGAAACTACTAATTCATCCAAAGAAGATCTTCCTACAGACTAACCATATCTCTACAAAAGTTTATCTGTGCATTAACAGTGTTTTTATGAACACGGTATACGATGAAAATGAAATATCAACAATGGTCAAGTCAACCCCTACCTTCTTATCCTCAAGTGATAAACGTCCCCATGCATTTAATGCTGAAGGTAGTATAAAAGGCAATATGCATCTCCCATGCAGAGTGACTTCCTTGAAAGATTTCTAAGTGCATTTTCAAGGCAATTGGCTCTCTCTTCTTCTATTCCCTAATCTCCTATGTGTGAAGAAAATCTTAATGTTCTTTATTTCCTTCCAAGTACTCTTTGTGTTGTTCTTGCAAGTTCTTCTCTTTGTAAGATTGTTTAGGTTAGGTTATCTTCTCCTTCTTCTTAAACAATCTTTATTGTATCTATGTGTGTTAATTCTTGATTTTCATCAACCAGAATTAAAAAGTTAAAAAAGTCTGTGTAATTGTATTCAACCCCTCTTCTATGATTTACTATTTGTTTATTGGCATCTCATTCGGGACTAACAAGTGGTATCAGAGCAGTTAGCTTAATCTCATAAGCTAGATTTGCAATGGTCTCTTCTTCTTCCAACTTCGCTCCTTCTTCTTACCATGACAATGACATTATTGCCAAGCTTCCCAAGTTCAACAAAAAACAACTTTCCTCTGTGAAAAAGTCGCATGACACTCTTCCTTGAGGGTATTGATAGTTAATATTTCTCTATCCTCAATGATGGCCCTATTGTTCCAAAAGTCTGGCTTCATCATGGAAAGAACAAAGATGAAGGTGACTCTTCAAATGATTCTGATGATGATGAAGAAAAATCTGACTCTACAGGAAGGTTCATCATTCAACAGTACAATGAAGATGACAAAAGGAAAGTTTCATTGGATACCAAAGTAAGTGCTATTTTTGTCTCGTCTCTTCCCGACGATGTTTACCACTCTTTGGTGAACCTCACTACTGCTAAAGACATGTGGAACACCCTATGAGTTATGTATGAAGGAACCATTGAAGTAAAGAAAAACAAGAAGATTGACCTCATTAAGCAATATGAGCTCTTTGTGCATGGAAAAGGTGAATCTCTCACTAAGTACTACAATAGGTTTAACAGTCTCCTCAATGATCTGAAGCTTCATGGCAGAGTCTATGAACATGAAGAAGTCTTGTGCAAGTTCATGGACTGTTTACTAGATTTCTGGAAAAACATTTGTACTTGTATCAAGACAAGCAAAGATCTTGAGAATATGCCTCTTATTACTATTTATGGAACTCTCCATAATTATGAGCAAGCCAAGATTCTGAAAAGGCATTCTTAAAAGATCCCAAAAGTACTCTTGTTTCTCTTCTCTACAATGATATGACGAAGTTAGTGAGTGAGCCTCATATCACTTTTCGAATGTTCAT